ACCCAATAGGACATCTCTCTATGCAGCCTAGGAGAAGCTGGGGCCATAAATGAGTTCCACACATCCATTGGGTCCCCTTGAGTGCTGGCCATCTAATTTCAGGTCTAGAGAACCCCTTAGTCCCAAACCAATCATTGGTCTGTAAAATCACAATATGTTGGCATAGTGACTCTGGGGTCCATCCTAATTCCCAAGTAGCATTAGGCCATTTGTCATAGATGTGGTTACTTTGTTCCCAGAAGAGTGGGGCTTTTTGGTTGAGATGCTCTATGGTGGGTGCAAGTCACATATATTCATCCCAAATATGATAGTAGCCATCCATATACCTTTGACATGTTGGCGGTGATGGTGGAAAGTGAAAGGTGGATGGACTTAAATGTGATTTATCAGTTTTAATGGCCTGAAGGTTGATTTGTTCTAAAGATTGTTTTTTTTCCATGATCTGGCTGTGATAGTTTCATTTACAGGCCATAATTTAATATCAACATGAGTAGTAGTTTGTAAAGAGTGTCTCTCTTCTTTTTGTTATAACATTAGGGACTGTAATTTTATCCAGTCACTTCATTGTAAGAGGGGTACCCACCAACATAGTTCAGAAGTTCTGAAAAGGGGTAATAGTCCACATATCCAGCAATTATCTTTCATCAACCTAGTGGCATACTTTTGAGCCCAATCTAGAAAACAGTTGATTTCAATAAATGTGCCTAAAATAATAAAGAGATGGGGGAAAAACAGTTTACATATCACCATTGTCTTTGTGGAAGAGATATTTCAGGTCTTCTAGTAGAGTGCATGAGTATCATTCCTCAGTTCATTGGGAAGGACAAGTTTCTCTGGGAGTTGATCCAGGATGCCAGGATTTTACCTGAGAGTGGAATCGATCCAGGGTGGCAGGATTTTACCTGAGAGTGGTGGATCCAGTTCTCTGTCCAAACACTTTCACTGCAGAGGAGGTAGATAAAATTACTGGGAAAAGTCCCTTCCAAATAGGGTCTGAATTGGGGGAATTTGAAGGTATAATCTTGACCCTAACCTAGATCCTTCACACAAAGATAAAGAAGTAAGTGGCTCAGATATAGGATATCTATAGATTTCAGCTTGAAACTTGGCCAGCTTTGTGACATGAGCCATCAGATATTCAGTTCCCTGATCTTTAAGAATATCATTCTTGGGCTGGGACAGTGGCTCAGTGGTAGAGCACTTGCCTAGCATGTGTGAGGCACTGGGTTCAAGTCTCAGCACCTCATATGAATAAATAAAGCTCATTTACAACTAAGAAAATTTTTTTAAAAAACATCATTCTTTAGGAATGCACTTTTACATGAGAATAAAACTGGGCTGGTTTTCTTGGGCTGTTTCTGATTCTGAGTGAGGAGCTTAGGCCATGGATAGTGGGTTTCTTAAGTGAGTTTTCTCAGATGACTCTTTAAAATATCATTAACCTTTTCTACCTTTCCTGAGGATTTTGAGGTCTCCACACAAAATGGAGATGGTATTTCATGCCTAGGATTTTAGATATTCCCTGAGTGACAGCTGCCTTGAAAGTTGCCCCATTGTCACTCTGGAGGCTGTGACAATGATGTGTCCACACCAGAGAATTATTTCCTGTAACATGGCTTTTAATACTTCTCCTGCCTGTTCAGTTTGGGAGGGGCAGGCTTCAGTCCATCCAGTAGAAGTATCTACCCTAATCAATAGATATTGGAATTGACCACTGTTACACCTGTGGGTAAAATCAAGTTGCCAGTCCTCCCCAAGAAATTGTCCTGCCTTTTGTAATCCTCAGGCTTTTTGGTGGAATTAAGTGGGTTATTTCTCTGGCATCTCTCACAGGCTTTGAATACTTGATGGATTGTCTTTGGTATATTTTTCCTTCAAATATCTCTCAAGTTAATTTGAGAGTGTTTTCTTCTCCCAAATGGAAATATTGATGTAGGGTGTGTAAAATCTTCCATTGACAGTTATCAGGTAAGAAAAGTTTGTTATCTTCCATCTGAATCCACCCAGAAAGCAAGAGAGTGTTTCCCATAGGTAAGGCCTGTTATGTCTCCTCCTGGGAATATTGAGGTCTTACCTCTGGGGGAAGGCCTGTTCATAGTAGAGGGGCTAATGTTGTTGGTTGATGTAAAGTTCCCTTAGCAGCCTCTTTGGCCTATTTATCTGCTCATCTATTGCCTTCTGATATCTCATTTATTCCCTTTTGATGCCCTTGGCAGTGGATTACTGCTACCTCTTTAGGTAAATTAACAGTTTCTAACAGTCTTAAGATCTGTTCATCATTTTTATGGATATTCCCATAGCTGTTTGAAATCCACTCTCTTTCCAAATTGCTGCATTTGCATGCAGGATTAGGTAGGCATATTTAGAGACCATGTAAACATTATCTCTCCACTGTTTGCTGGTCTCAAGTGCTCTCCTTAGGGCTATCAATGCTGCAAGCTGTGCACCTGTGCCTGGGAACAAAGACTATACCTCTAAAGTATCATGTAAAGTCATCATGGCATATCCAGCCTTGCATTCTCCTGGTTCCATAAAGTAACTCCCCTCTGTGTACATGGTGAGGTCCAGATTAGACAGGGGAAGGCTCTGAAGGTCTCCCCAGGCTGAATAGTTAGTTTACAGCTAGTTATGACAGTGATGACAATCAATCAGGGCAGATTCCCATTTCCACAGGTGCTGAAGATTGAACACCTGAGGAATGCTGAGGCAAGTGAATAAAGCAAGTTTTACTTAAAGAATAAAACAGAGAGAGATTTCTCCACAGAGAAGGGGACCTAGAGCTGGGTGTCCAATGAAGGGGGGTATTGAAAGGAACACAAGGAATTGGGAGATGGGTGAGCAAGAAATGAAACACAGAGACCAAGCAGAGATACACATGAGAGTTTATTTGTCAGAGCTGACATATAAAGGCCATCTCTCCACAGACAGAGAGAGGCAAAACAGGCTTGGGTTCTAAGACTTTTATGGGGCAGGCGGCAGGTCCTAATGCTGGCAGTTAAGGGTGGGGTTGGTATGAGGGAGTGGTGAGCCTTTCTCAGAAAGGCCCTTGGGTGGGAAAGTGAAACTTTTTCTTAAGATGGCAGTTGTCACTCGGGATGGCCATCCAGACACTAAGCAAGGATCTTACAGGTATTCCACCCCATTTTTTAAATATTTACTTTTTTTAGTTGTAGATGGACACAAAATCTTTATTTTCTTTTATGTGTGCTGAGGATTGAACCCAGGGCCTCACACATGCTAGGCAAGCACTCTACTGCTAGGCCACAACCCCAGCCCTTCACCCCATTTATAGGTTTTAGGTTTCCTTTGTTCTCATACCCTCCTTCTCCCCTTATCTTGTCTATGTGACTAGTGACCAAAAGGTGGCCAAAAGGTGGGAAAGAAGACTTCAAAGGCTGCCTCTCTGTGTCTGCCCAAATGAGCAGGAAAGGAGCCCCAGGAGGTACTTCATTAACAATTTTTACTTTCTTACAGGGAAGAACAATTCCATAGAGGCAGGTAGCCTTGGCAACAGATTGGAGGAGGGAGGAAGGGCTTAGGAGATATTAGCATTTTATTTCTTTCCTCTAGAATCAGCCTCCATCTTTCTGATCAGAACCAATTCTTTATTACCTATACTGACTGTTCTTTTGCACCACCGCCACCCTCAATCCTCCCACTGAGGACATAACTCTTAGTGCTATAAGGGAAAATGGGTGATGACCACTCTGGCTTCTTTGAGCTGAGAGGGGGTTACATGGGGAAAACAGTTTGGACTTCCCCCTTAGGAATGTTTAGAGTCAGTTGAGGGGTCTGTGGCTAAAGTCTGGCTTAGAAGCAACAGGTTGTAAAGTCATCTGAGAGGTGGGTGCTTCTATGAGAGAAAAAAAAATACATGAGTACTAGAATATTATTAATGCAAAATAAATATTGTGACATCTGGAAAATGTCAATGAATATTGTGATGATCATAGAAACCGATACTCTCTCACACCAGGAGGTAACAGAGCTGAGAAGATTTTCCCAAGATAAGGCCTGTGAGAACATGGTCTCTATTTGGGACTGTAAATCTTTAAGAATGTTATTTACATTGCCAAAGTTATCAGGAATGTCAACACAACACTTAGTTTTTATAACGTCACAGATGCCCCCCATAAGATGTAGTTAAACTATCTAGTGTCATCTGATTTTTGCAAAATACCTTTTTATTGGCATAATCTCTGTGTTTAGTGGAGATCCCTTTATTCTGTTACTTAGGGCTAGATAATCTTACTAGCAAACACAGATCAAGACTACCTTTGTAGGAGGTTAGGAAGATTTGTAGGCCATAAATTGACTATTGACTAAAAAAACATTTTGACTCTGATAGTCTCTTTTGATAGTTATCTTGTCTTAAGAATCCCTCTTTTATTGCCACCAGTCTTATTTGTTTACTCTTGGTGGAGATAAAACACAAGTGTGCATCTTAAATTACATTAAAAGAACTATTGTCTTCTCTTTTTTTTTTTTTGAGGTTTCAATATTTTATTCAAGTTTTATTTTAAGTGTTGTTAATTACAGCATTTGAAGGGGGAGTATCTAATTCCACACAAAATGGAAGACTCTAAAATGTACCCATTAAACTGCTAAAAAATAAATTGAGTGGTGAGAATACAACAGAAGTCCAATTTAGATCCCTAGTGTTGTCACTGTGTGATTACAATCACGCAGACTCTTCCCAGCCTATAGCTGGAGCTCCTGGAAGCTATTGCAGACACTGGTGCAAGGGCAAGAAAACCACAACACAAAAAGGAATTAAGTCCTGAATTATTGGCTTCATCACGTCCACCCTCTCCACTCCAAAATGGCATGAAAAAGAAACAGTGACCACACCCTGCAGATTACTTTTGGTGTAAAAGAGGTGACCATGGGCTAGAGTGGAAAAAGGTTATGAAGTTCTGTCTAAAAAAGTCCCTTTCAGATGAGTTTGTACACACCACCAAGCAATGAGCTCCTCATCAATTAGGGTTAGGAAACCAAGATTTGATTTTCAGGAAGTCACAATTCCATTCATTTACTCAATACAGATTTACAAAGTGCCTATACATTATCAGCTTCCATTTGCAGCCATTTCTAGATTTAAAAAAAAAAGTAAACCTGGCATCTCTAGAGGGGTCACCAAGTCCCTCACACACACACACACAAGTCTACAGCTGAAAGGACCTTTTTTTGGACTCTATTTCTTCTGTACTTCTGAAATGGTAACACTTTAAAGCTGAATCCTCTTTCACCTGGAGGTCTAACATGATTTTTAGCAATTCTTGCATCCCAGACATACAACATTAAAAGGTACACTAAATTCTGAAGGTATCTATGCTGCAAAATAGTTTAAAATTAATGATTGTACAGTATTAATTTATGCTTGAAATTCCAGTCCTAGACCAAGCTTGTGACCACCAGCATTGATATTCTTGCCATCCAGCAGAGCTGACAGTGTCAGTTTGATACCTGGCTTTAGGGTCTGAGTGTATCCTAAACCAATCAGGCTGGAGTTGTTCACTTTGGCTGAGAAGCAGGCATCAGGGTCAATCTGATACTTTGCTGCTATTTCAAAGCGAGTGTTACTGTTTCCTGCTGTCCAGGCGAGATTGACAGCCGTCTCCAATTTCTTATTCACCTTCTGATAAATGGAGCCACCAAACTCTGTCCCGTCATTCACATTAGTGTGAAGCTGAAATTCGTCAGTCTTGTAACCAACTGCAAAGTTGCTCTGGGTCACTCAGGACTTTGCGGTCTCAAAATTCATCTGGTAGCCAGTCAGCCAGCCCTCATAACCCAGCACCAGAGCACCCCGGATTGAAGGCCCAGCAATGTCAAAGTCCACATCGCAGCCCAGGTTGATGTGCTCCCGCTTGTACCCTGTCTTGATTTTAGCATTTTTTCCCCCAGTGTTAGGTGAGAAGGATGAATCGAAGGTCAGCTTCAGTCCACGTGCAAGCTGATCTTCCACAGTGATCTCAGTGCCCAGTGTGTTGTCAGTGTTCCACTTCTCTGTAAACGTCAGGCGATATTCAGTCCACCTGTACTTGGTTTCCAGGCTGCCCTTCACTTTGGTGGTCTCTGTGTTGGCTGAGCCTGAGCTCATAAATTCCAATCCATTCTCAGATTTTGTTTTCAAATAGAGTTTGATTAATCCAAAGCCATAGCCCTTGGTGAAGATATCCCTGGCAGATTTGCCAAGATTGGCATATGTGGGAGGCACAGCCATCTTCTGCTCGGAGGTGGTGGCGGATACTTGTCTTCTTTTTTAAATGCCCAGGCATGGCTCTGTTTTGATAATAACTTGTTTAAGACTAAGCTAGTCTAATTGACCTTGTTCCTATTGATGAACCCAGCCTAATTCCATCTTAAGATTGGAAGCCATCTCATCACAAAGTCATGAAAAGTTCATTTCTGTTTTACTGTAAAATACTAAGATTTCTATTTGGGGCTGACCATACTTTGATATTTTAAGAACTTGTTTGAGATTCCTGCCCATGCCTTGAACTTACCCATGCCTGGCTCTCCCTGATCAGATAAAAACCCTCCCTGAAATGCCAACTGCTCCTCATTAATTCTGATGTTGGAATCTGAGTTTACTTCCTACTTTGATATATCAAGCCATGTAGATCATTAATCTGCTATCTGCCCTTGTATTATGCTTGCCAGAACCCTGTTAGCTGTAAGTTCCCAAGAGACTCCCTTTGTAACTTTTATTTATTTTTTTTAAAGAGTGAGAGAGAGGGGGAGAGAGAGAGAGAATTTTAATATTTATTTTTTAGTATTTGGCGGACACAACATCTTTGTCTTTATGTGGTGCTGAGGATCAAACCCGGGCTGCACGCATGCCAGGTGAGCGTGCTACCACTTGAGCCACATCCCCAGCCCCTGTAACTTTTATTATAAAACCCATTTTGCCCTTACCAGATGCTGTCCTCTGGCCCTGAATTTGGGTGAGGCAGTCACTGGCCAGCTGTCTTGTGTACACAATATAAGCTTGCTTTAATTTGGCTTAAAAATTGGAGTTGGTGGTCTTTTCTTTGTATTGTGGGTTCAACACTATCTATTATTAAGAGTCAGCTGAGTTCCCTTGAGGAGTCACTCTTGGGAACTTGAGAGCATTTTCTTAGCTTCTTTAGTGCCATCTGCCATGTGGCTTCCCTTGGAAGCATCAAGGATGGCTCCTTCTCTAATGACTCTCCTCTGCAACATGTGCACTGGTCAGCTTTCTGTTCTCTAGGGTGTCATTGATCTCCCTGATCAGGAGATCATGTGGCCCAGAGTTGCAAAACCCTTAGTTAAGTCCCTTTGTTCCCTGGATTCAATATGACTCAGAGGGCAAGAGCCAAATATTGGCTACTTGGTCCTTTTATTTTCTTAACTTTAGTCTCCAAGTTTTGGTCTTAAACATGCAGAAAGCCAGATTCACCAGCCTCAAAGTGAGAGTACTGGGTTTTACCTTTAATGTCTATAACTTTAGAGTTATTTACCCCTCTTGTTTAATTGGGGTATGTATTAGTACTGGAAGTTAGCCTTACATCCTGTCTGTATTGACTGTTATACTTCTGTAAGGTACTAAAAGATAACAGTTAAAGTTTACAAGAAAAATACAAGATGAAATTAACAAAAGTGAAAACAGTTTGATTTTGTATAATGGCTATGAACCAAAAAACATAATTTTTTGATATTTATTTTTTAGTTTTAGGTGGACAAAATATCTTTATTTTACGTATATGTGGTGCTGAGGATTGAACCCAGTGCCTCATGCAAGCTAGGCAATCACTCTACCACTGAGCCACAACCCCGGCTCCAAGAAACATAATTGTTTTAATAATCCTCAAACTTTACTTTGAAGAACACCAGCTTGGTAAAATGTACTTCTAAACTTTATACTTTAAAAACTTGTATACTTGGATGATATAAATTCATTCATTATACCAAGAAGCCAGTGATAGCATCACAATTACACTGATGTTTTTAGATTAACCACGTTTAGCTTTTAAATAAAAATTTAAACTCAGTAATGTAATGTAATACTCTTCAATAACAGTTGCCATTTAACTTGTACAAACCCTAATTTATTTAAGACTAGTTCCTCTAAAGAATAAAACTTAAGAGACACAAGAGATTATCTTGATAGATAAGAACAGATTAATATGTTAAGAAATCTTTGTTGTTGGGCTGGGGATGTGGCTCAAGCGGTAGCACACTCGCCTGGCATGCACGCGGTGCTGGGTTTGATCCTAGCACCACATACAAATAAAAGATGTTGTGTCCGCCGAAAACTAAAAAATAAATGTTAAAAAAAATTCTCTCTCTCTCTCTCTCTCTCTCTCTCTCTCTCTCTCTCTCTCTCTCTTTAAAAAAAAGAAATCTTTGTTACTTCAATCCATAGAGGATTAAACTTTGGTTTATACATTAATATTTGACCTTAGGGGAAAACATTGAATAGATTTAACTGATTGTGCTAATCATATATAACCAATTTAGTTACATATAAACCTTTTGAAATTTACCCTCTATAAACCTCCTGAAACTTAGACATTCCACAACTTTTACTTTACCACACAAAAACTTTCTCATCCAGAAACATTTTTTTCTTCTACTTTCCATACTCAAATATATTTCCATACCTAAAACCTTCTTATATCTCTTTCCTAACTATTGATCCTTTTTCTTAATCCACCTTCTGAAACAACCCTTATGAAATATCTAAATTTAGACAAAATTTTCCACTTTAATAAGATGAAACACTTTTATGTTTTTATGATACTTTAATTGAAACCCAACTGAAACCTCTTATACTCTTTGTATATAAATTATGCCTGATAGAATCTTAAATCTTAGTAACCTTGTTTTAATGAAGATATAGACACAAAGGAATCTTAAATATTTTTTCCATTTACCCATTTATGAAAATACACATAATGTTTAACTATATTATTTAGTGGAATTCAAGAAGTTAAGAATACTTGATTGTATATTTAGCAGTTTGTTTTAGCACTTTAACTTTGTAAATTAATCAGATGTCTCCTTAACATTTATGATTAATTCCATTGATGTTAAACCTAATTTACTCATTTTTAATTGTAAAAACCAAGACATAATACAGGTGTAGTGAACAGTACTAGCCATCTCTTTCTTGTTGAAGAAAAATTCTAGAAGAAATGGATATTTTCTAGACATTTTATAGAAAGCAACACTCTTAATTGTCTGAACACTGAGAAAAACTTGTGAGTTAGAGATTTTAAAGACATATTTACTTCATCTGTTTAATTTAAATTGAACATTTTAGGTCATGTGAACTGAAAGTATTTATGTCAAGAGCAGCAGATGAATCATTGCTTTGAACTCCACAGACTTCAACAGAGAGACACCACTTCTGGGAATCCTTCATTGCAATGATTCTAAGAGAAAGGCCCATCTACAGGTGATCATTGTTAATGGGGTAAATTCTGTTAGGTGCAGGACAGGCTGAGTCAGCTGTCTGCAGGGCATGCCAAACAAAGTTAGCTGCAGGATGATCTGGCCACTCAAACCCTCTGTCTGGTTCTTTATCAACTATTTGCTTCAAGCCCAAATGCCCAAGCCCCCGCTCAAAGCTGAACACTCAACCCCCTGCTCAAGGCCGAACACATAACCCCCCTTGTGCCAACAAGGCAGCTTGCAGACCCAGAGACCTCATTAGATTTGGGCTATAAAAACTCCCTCCTGCCAGGCCCCTCTCTCTCTTCTCTCTTGCTCTCTCTGTCTCCTTTGTGCATGTGCTCTCTTCTCTCTCTCTCTCTCTCTCTCTCTCTCTCTCTCTCTCTCTCTCTCCTTCTCTTTCTCTCTCTTCTCCTCTGTTGCACTGCTACAATAAAGATCTCTTGGTTGCTCTGAGTGTTGTGGTCACTTTTCTTTCAAATTCCATGCCTGGCTTGGAATTTATGGATTCAATAGCTTTGAATTCAAATGCCTGCTGCCCTGGGGTTAAAGAAATGTGGCTTTGCTCAATAGCCTTGAAGTGCCAGCTGCCTAGAGCTAGAGAAGATATTGCACAAGTAGTTAGGCTCCAATTACCACATTCCTGCTAGATTTCACTTTTGTTTATCTCAAGAAGTTTTTCTCACAATAAGTCCTTTTGATGTTTTTTGCCTACATAATAAAGCATGTTGGACTCTCCCTCTTTGTAAGAGGTCAGACCCACCTGCCTGACCAACCCACTGAGCCCTGATTTTTACCTATTTTTGTGTCTTTTGTCTTTATTTCTTACAATTTCTTATTACTTCTCAATCCCACCCACCACCTGCAATTGGTGACTGCCCATTCAAGGTGCAGTAAGCAGTGAGAACAGGCGCCCAAACAGGGACCCTATTGCTAGGAACTCAGAGAATTTTCAGGTGTTTGTACACTCCTCAAAGAGACACATGTGTTAGGGAATTTAAAGAAAAGGGGAGAGGAATGAGTTTTTAATAGCTCAGTGTTAAACATGGGAAATTTTAATTCTAAAGAGAGAGAGCATTTCCTCAATGCAGTATGAGGAAACTTGTTAAAGAAAGTGCAACTGGTGCAATTCTTAGAATCATAGAAACTTGTCCGTGATTTCCAGAAGAGTTGTCTCTTGATTTGCATATAAGGCAGAGGCTTGGCAGAGAATTGCACACTTGATATGACTAAGGAAAAACGTCCAGGTGCATAACCAATAACTCAGAAAAAAATGTGAATTTAATATGAAATTGTTTAGATCCAGATAGAGACAATGTGAAGTGACCAGCTGCTAATCTAATTGCTAGTTTTTAAAATGCTTTTAAAGGTATGCTTGCTCTACCTGTCCACCCCCACCTTCCCTAGTATCTCTATGCAGAGATGGGGGGGCCGTGAGAAAAGGAGGAGGAGGAGGAGGAGAGGCAAGAGCCAATTGAGTCTGATGGAGAAATTCTGAATGATGGGGGAAGAGAAGCTGAATGGGAATTTAGGGAAAATTCTGAGGAGGAATCAGAGGAAGAAAGAGACTAATCTTGTGAGCTCTCTAATATAAATATGAGTATTTCTACTCCTGTACATCACCACACACCTTGGACAAAATTAAAATTCAGTGTTACTAATGTTTCTCCACTCCAACAGAGCCTTCGGTCTGCAAGAGCAACAGGAGAAGGTGTGGCTGGCTTTCAGCTATAACCTATCTTTTAACAATCTGATCTGAATGATCCAAGTGACAAATTAGGGCACATTTACCTTTTCCTTTTAAAACTCCAATA